ACACGGTTTTTAAAAATTTTAATGCATTTTCAGGTAGCTTGGGTAATTTTGGGCAATTTTTGCTGAATCTTGGGTAATTTCGACCCAATCATTGGGTATATCCAAAATTGTAAGTGGTCACGCTGGTATGCCCAGCCAAGGATAAACTTCCATTTTTCAGGTCAAGGTTTTCTCAGCGGTTTTATCATTCTGACCCTATACTATTTGAAATAAGCTTGGGGGCCACCCAAATTTTTGCCTGAAATCCAAGATGGCCGCCAAAATCAAAAATGGCCACCAAAATTAATATTATTAGAGATATACAATATATTTAGTCGGTGTTGTCAACTTTTTTGAAGTGGAATTGTCACCTCAGACCTAAGCCTTTCAAGATCTCAAAAGCCACCAAGAATTTTGCCTCAAATCCAAGATGGCCGCCAAAATCCAAAATGGCTGCCAAAAATCACAATTATTAGAAAAATATGTAGCATATTATTTGGTTATGTCAATGTTTTTTCAGCCTTGATTTGTCACCTGGTACATAAACCATTCAAGATCAATCGAGGGCCACCCAGAAGTTGGCCTCAAATCCAAAATGGCCGCAAAAAATACAATAATTTCAGATTTGCAGCTTGTGGATTTGTCATCTGAGAGATAAACCTTTCACGGTCAATCGAATGCCACCCAGAATTTGGTCTGAAATACAAGATAGCCGCCAAAATGCAAAATGGCTGCCAGAATTAACCTCATTCAGTAAATTCTGCCTATTTTTTGTTCCTGTTAACGTTTTTTTCAGTGAATTTGTTAATCCCTAAATTAATTTGAAATTAACTTTAAGGCCTCCTAAAAGTTGACTTCATATCCAAGATGGCCGCCAAAATGCGAAAATGGCCACCAGAATTACCTTAATAAGATGTATATTGCCAAAAAATTGTGTAAATATTTTTTTACGGGGATGGGGATCTGTCATCTAGAACCTGTATCTGTGGTGGTGGTGGTGGTGGTACAGCAACTTTTCCTAAGGGATGCGCAAGAAAATTAACAAAAGCGATCAAAAAGGACACCATATATAATGTATGCCATTACATGTTTCAGGAAAAATCCACTTAAAAACGTTAATAGGAACAAATAATAGGCAGAATTTACCTAATTAAGTTAATTCTGCCGGCCATTTTGGATTTTGGCCGCCATCTTTGATTTGAGACCGAATTCTTGGTGGCCCTTGATTGACCGTGAAAGGTTTATGTCCCAGAAGACAAATTCACTGATAAAACATCGACATTTGAAGCCAAATAGTAATCTGCAAATCTGGAATTATTGTATGTAATATAAATCATCAAAGGTACATATACAGTGTTTAATAAGGACGTGATGGAACATTGTAAGCTACCCTGTAGCTTTTCAACGAATAAAGTCATATATATGAAAAATCATTGTGTAATAAAATTCCTCCGACGGGATTCGAACCTGCGACCTCTCGCTGACAAGGCGAGCGTCATAACCATTAGACCACGATTAGACCACGAAGGCCTCATGGTTGAACAGGTCCAAATACCCGTCGGGAACATTGTATTACACAATGCTATGCCTCAAGAGGGCGTTTGGCCAGATAAATCTGGAAATACGGCTAGAAATAGCTGTCGTATATTATATATGATATTGAAGGAAGTTAGCCGTTAACACTGTTGAATATATATAATATAAATCATCAAAGGTACATATACAGTGTTTAATAAGGACATGATGGAACATCGTAGGCTACCCTGTAGTTTTTCAACAAATAAAGTTCTATAAA